TTAAACGAATGTGGAGAAGTGGACGATGATGAGATGTTTAGCTTCATTTGTCATTGGTAAAGGCGAGAATGCTGCAGAAAGTATAGCTCTGCTGAAGGAATCGGGAGATGTTCTGTCTATTCAGGTAATTCAAATTCACTTTTCATACCGCTGTGGTCAATTTAATAATGTTTACCAATTTAAACATAGCCACATGTGAGGGTCAAAACAAAGCCGCCAGTAAGGTTGTGTACAAGGAAATTACTAGAATAAGTCGCTAGTCATGGTTGGAGGGGAACATGTGTCAGAATTCCATTTTCACACAGTTTTGATGAATATTTTTACAGTGACTGTTAATTTGAAGCAGAAATGTAGGGAGATGCGAGACGGAATGGTGGAAGGGAGTGCTGAAGCCACATACCTTTGACAGAAATAAAGAAGAAAGTCACCATAGCTAGGCTTAGATTTTCAATAAAAAGCGAGAAAGGGCAGTAGAAAGAAAAAATACACATTTTGATTGTGTCATTATCTTTGTATTTCCTTAAATGTTGATTTCAGGATATTCTCCCCTTCTTTCCTGATTTCACAGAAATCAAGGATTTCAAGGATCCTCTGTGTGAGTGTCTCAAGGAGCATTCAATCAAGATCCAGGTATTTCTTTTCAAAATTGGGTACTTGCACAGAATTGGGTTTGAGAGAAAAAAGCTCTACCCTGGTACAAGGTACAGCGCCCGGCGTGCATATCTCGCTTTCTTATATGCCACTTCTTTACTTTCATTCGTGTTCGCTGCGACCTTTGAGTACGTATTTTACTGCCGATGTAGAAGTCAGAAATCTGCAGTTTAGCAGAGAGCTTCAAAATCGAATAGGTGCTTTTCATCTTCCCATCCACGCCAATTACTCAATGTTTGAAGATGGGAGGCATGATTTGCTTGGTAGGGATTTGATCCGAGATTGATCTACGGACTATGTCTAGTGATTGGAGGTGTTAATTGAGGTTTGTTAATTCCCACGCCACCACCGCTTCTAGCTGTGAAAGTTGTTGACAATCACTGGAATATGTATAAAATGCTTCTTAAAAATTTTCTGAAAGCCAATGCCGTGTACTTTGAGCTTATTCCAGTTTCGCTTCAGGAACTTCAACAAGCTATGAAAGACGCCACGCTCATGGCACAGGAGATTCGAGAGAAGACTGAAAGGCTTCGAGATCGGTGAATTTTGACTGGAATAATTTGGTCATATCTTTCATTTGCAGTCCCACTAAAGCCTAGTACGGGGTGGGAAACGTCTAGGCTTGACAGGTGTGAGCATCGCGCGAGTTATGCAGCATCCAACAACTGAATATACGTGCGGGTGACAGCAATCTCTGCAATGCTGTGACAGCCGCTTGTAATGTGCATGCGATGCATAGCAAGCATGGCTGCGGTGTGTACTGTACTCACTAACGAAAAATGCGAAATGTGACTTCTGGTTCATCAGTTTTCGGGTGTCCCATTCTGATTTATTTCAGAACTACATTAGCTGTAAAGAGTTTCAGGGTGACCATCGTGAAAGCTGGAGATGTGTGCGCTAAATGTGAGCGTTCATTGATTGGAAGGCCTTTCCATGCTCACCATTGCCGGCATTTCTTTCATCGAGAGTGTCTGGAGGAAGAGATGATGCCATTTTTGAGCGAGGTTGGTCGAATAAGAATGCCTATATGGATAGGAGCATCCGAGAATTTTATGATAAAGATTTCACTCGAATAACCATATCATTACTATTTTTCCAGCCGTGTTTTTTTCAAATGAGATTGAGATATTGAAGTTATTGAATATTAGGTACCGGATATCTTAATGTCGTTTTTCTGAGTTCAGGAAGTTTCGGGGCCGATTACCATGGAAAATCAATTTCTCAGAACGTTCTTTTTGCTTATTAATACTACGTAATATGTTGCTTATTAGTCCTATTGTTACTTTACAATTTACCTCTCCCCCAATTTTTATACCTTTTTCTGAAAATTCCTGGGTTCATTGCGCAAATTCGTATGTGTGTACCAAATGCCATCAAAGTCGGGCTGGGAGCTACAGATCCGCCAACCAAACTAACATTGCTTTTGTTAGAGGAATACTACCGTTTGGAATGCTCACCGGTTCTCCTCAGTTTTCTTAAAAGACAGTGAAGTTTTTGAAAGGATGCCTGCAATCGTCTTCAAAAAGATGGCCCTAGTTAAGCCAGCTGAGAAGGGGCTGCACCAGACTTGTGCTGAAATGGTAGGATACTTTCACTGTGATGGATTGATGATGCGCAAACATTCCTATGAATTTGATTCCGCAAGATATTCTGATAAATGTGCTCACCTGCCTCTCACGCGCGCTCAAAAAGGGTGCGTTTTTGACCCTATGTTGCAAAAAAGTCTCCGTAAAAAACTGCCCACTTGGGCTGATAAGTTCTAATTTTTCTGTCGTGCAATGCAGACCCTACGCTAACCAGCTGTACACTTACTTTGTCCAGGCCTTACTTTTTAGCAAGTAAGAGGGATGATTTATCAGAGGATGTCAAAACCGACCTGCCTCTCCTTTTTAACTCAAAAAATTCCGAGCTTGGATCGTGCAAGGTTTCCACTCAAACTGTTAGATGAGGGGATCCTAGTAAGTCATTTTATGATTAAACTAATTCGCTCCCCGGGTTTTGAACTGAAATATTGCTGGTCCAAAACTCTTGGTGAAAAAACGACATTAAGATATCCGGTACCTAATACTATTGAACCAACTTCGGGTTGTCCTGTGTAAAACGCCTCTAATAATGTCGTTTTCTCAACTATTTCGAACAGTTGCTAGAAAAACAGTTAATGCTTAGAATTTTCCTCTTTCGTTGTAGGAATTGAAAGCCCGTCTTAGTGACCTTGAGGCAACCGAGAAACGGTTATTTGCGCAACTTCAAGCTGCTGATCGAGTTCCCACAGCAACCGACAAGTTCACCGATGGTGAGTATATTTTTTAGTTTCACTCACCTGATGTTTCTCTAGCTATTCATGTGATTTTTATAGTTGAAGTTTGCAGAGCGAAAAGCACGCTTCATGAAAAGTCACATGCGAAATCAATGAAATAATTGGTACTCAATGCCCTCTATGTGGTTTGACTGCTATCGAGTAAGTCTTGTGAAAGATTGCTGATTTCTGTAGCAAATAGGCCCTACATGCGATCCTATTCTACTCCTTATGATTATCTTCCGAATGGAAATTTTCAGGCTGATCGATAAGCCTTTCTTTACGGAGGAGCAGTTTGAAGCTGATCATGAGTCTTGGGAGATCTAGTAGGAGTCATCGCAGCATTGATCAACACACTGTCAATTTTACTTAGTTCTTAAAATATTGAATACGGAAGTCTTTGTGATATGTAAATACTATTGTTCAGACATGAAAACAGTCTAATAAATTTTATTTTTCCGCTTTCTCTTAGCCCTCACCACTTACAGTCCATTCATTTCCGATATTTTCTTGCAGCTGATGCTGAGATATTCATATCGTTACAGTCATTTTCATGAATTGCAACAAAGGACGTTTCCCTTTTCTAGTGAAATCCAAAAACCTGGCTCTAGTACCTTAACCCTTATGCGCTACGACTTTTTTTAGAATCGAGTTATAAGTGTGTTCTGCGTTGCAATTATCCCTCCTGGCAACAGGCAACCAGCTGTAGAAATTTGGCTGATGTACGTTGGGTGTGACCTGGGATTTGATCTAGGGACCATGCGCGCGGTAGCGGCCCGTCTTGTCATAACACCATTTCCGCTCGGATGATTTTTTTTGTTCAATAAATTGGCAATCTAATGAGCTTGCAACGCACAACAGTTTTCTTTCACAATAATTAGAAGTCTTCAGTGGCCCCGAAAATTTTTCACAAAAACCCAGCTTTTGAAAAGGATTTCCTTCGTTTTCTCGTGATTGGATTCCTGATATATTAATTTCATCGCGTTTACAACCGCCACCTGTAGCATTTTGTATTGACTGTAGTACTTGACTCGCTTTAGCTTCTGACAATTATTTGTCATAGTAAGAATTGAAAAGCTTCTATATGAGCACAGCTTAGCCATCAAATGAGCCCTCCTGCCTCAATATTCCCTGGAACTGTGGTAGTGTCTTTGACTACGAAGTGGGACACATGTGTACCACCAGTAGTCAAAGATTAACTTACGCAGGATGACTCGCTTTAGCTTCTGACGACTAATTGTCATAGTAGGAATTAGAAAGCTTCTATATGTGCACAGTTCAGCCATCAAATGAGCTCCTCCTGCCTCAATATTCCCTGGAACTGTGGTAGTGTCTTTGACTACGAAGTGGGACACATGTGTCCCACCAGTAGTCAAAGGGTTAAGGCACAATTCAGTATGGGTTCAGGTGGATGAACGTTTCAGTGGTCTATCCTACCTAGAGTTGTTAACGGAGGCTGCAGATGACTGGTTTTCTGTGTTTCTAAGTTCTTAATGAGGGTGCTAGGGGGCCCCTGGCACATAATTGCCTCTGATAGTTTCCAATTTTTTCCCCACGGCCTATTATATCGGCATTCTCTTCACGCCCAATGCGCTCCCCCTCTCTCCTCCATTGCTCAGTTTTCGCAGTACGATGCCTCGAAGGCAGAGTGGAGGCAGCTCTATAAAAATCGGTATTCAGTGGTGCAGAGATGAAGAAAAAGCTATGTATACGGCTCGGAAACGAGGAATGAGCTTCTGCTTTACCTAGTAATGACTACATTGATGCGACTCCATATCTGTTGATTTGCACTCTATAAACGCGTCATACCTTCCTGGCCAAACGTGTGGCTAAAATTCAGATGGCGCGCGGTTACCATCCGAAGGAGAGCGTACAGAGGTTCAGCGGCCCTGCTAGGCTATTGGGACATACTCTTCGCTGCGAAACGCGCATCGTCCTGCATCCTTAGAGGGCGCTGCCTGCCTTTCTACTAGGTAAATTTCCGTGTCCTCTGCTTTCCCGCTGCGCGGCGGACTTCCCATTCGAATGTCCTCACGCACTTGGGATTGATTTCCGACCAGGAATGCATCCCAAAGTTGGGAATCTATCTCATCGAGGATGGCTTCATACAGCCTCAGTTTTCCGTTGCTGGTACTACCCGACAGAAAACAAAGACGCAAAAGGGTTCGCGGACGATTCACTGCAAGTACTGTAGCGATTTATCTAGTGTCAATTTAGATGGGATGTACTTGGAAACACTACATAAACGCTACAGTACGCGCTGCGACTCGTTCGCTGACCGTCTACGTCCCTTTCTTCTCGCTGTGCGACGGGTCCTGTCGGGTATCCTCATCTTAAAAGACTTGCAGGAGAAAGCCTCCGAGTACCGAAGCCGCAGCAGTTCGACGTAAGACAGATTATGCGCTGCCGGCACGCCCACTAGTTTGCCCGACCTGGTTGGTGGTAGGCACCTCACGTGACGAGTGGTGCGTATTGCAGCAGATGCGCGCCGGTAACTCAAGAGGTTTCTCTTGCGAGTTTATCCGAATGCTTTGGGAATCCATACCCAGTCGAGTATGGCTGCATACAGCCTCGGTTTTCCGTTGCAGGGACTGCCGGTCTAATTACGGGCGCAGTGGCAGTCGTGAAAAAAATCGTCATTCATTTGTTGTTCTGCAGTACGGCAATTGTTTAGAGGGAAATGATGTAAGCCGCTGGTGACCTAATTGTAAATAGTGACCATGAAAAATCGTATTACAAGTTTCGAGTTCTACTTCTGTGGTCTAGAATACTACAGATAGATATCACAAAGATGGGACTTGCTTCCATGACATTTTTGACGCTAGGTTTAGGTTTTAATTCTATTCAGGTAGGCTCGCAATTTGTACAGCCAGTTCTGCGCAACGAATCTGACTGCATTCACACCGCTACCCTTCCCCTTATTGGTAAGACGAGTATCAGTACTGTACATTTAGCTGTTTGTCACAGCGCTGGTCTGCATTCCGGCACTGTTTCCTTAGTGATGGGCATGGTTTTGCTGTCTATCAGCAAGGGGACCGAATATTACTAAACACTACAAACGTTCCTCAATGTTGCTAGTAATTCACACATAGAGAGGGGACTTTGGGAGCCGTGGGAGGGGAGCTGAAATTCCTGGTATTTTTGAATCGGATCACCTGCCGCACTGGATTTGCTTCTACGCTTCTCGGTATTGATCATTGCTAGTTCTCATTCATCGAGCTCACAATCCTTTTTCCGCACCGAAGTTGTAAAACACACATAAACAAAATGACAACATAAAAAGTCCGAAGGATGGTGTCCACACGAGCGTCATGGCTTGTAATAATTTGTAGGTCTTCATGTGCAGAAGTAGCACTGCTTCGCAAGGGTAACCATAGCGTCGAGAAAAATGACCCGCGGCTGGACCTGCCACCAGGGTCAATCCTACGTTGTTACTAGTAACAACGGGGGGGGTACCTGGTTGAGTTTATAGGAGGGGGTCGTATCCGCTTCAGTCGCGTGAAAGTACATGTGAGTTTGCGGTGAAAGTGGAGATTATAGATTATAGGTAGAAGTGGGGTAAATTGGTTGAAATTTAGGGAATTTTGGTAAATTTTTACTGTTTCATAGTGGGTATACCCCCCCCCCGCTCGACGGCATTTTTGGAGGAAAAAGTGGGCGGAGTTTGGTGGGTTGAGTGGTACCAGAATTAAATACTATAGAGAGGAATATGGTGGTCGAGGTGTCGAAAAGGGGGTCGTACCAAGTCCACCTTGGGGGAGGGGGTCGTAAAAATTTTTGAAAAAGTAACAATGATAGGACTGAGCCTGCATCCCACCACAGCGGAGCTCTCCCTTCCTCCTCCCCCTTGGAGATGGTTGTGGGGTTAATGGGCAATTGTGTTGTTGAGTTTGGCTTAAGCTTTAATTCGCTTTCGGAATTTTTTCGACAATTGCCGTCAAGTAAGTGAGGCGAGAGCGGGATATGTAAAGCGTTAAAGCGAGACTTTCACTCTATTTCATGTTTTTTTTTTTCGCCTATTCCAAATATTCCCATTCACGACCCCCACGAGCCCCAAAGACGGCTCCATTCTCAAAACAAGGCTGGCAAAAGGATGCGACCTCCATCAAAAAATCTTCCAACCATGGCTCTCCCTGATTACGTAGAGAACACGGGATGTTTGCACTCACCTCCTCCCCACCATTGGGCAACCGCGCATCACTCTTCATCGATTCTATGAGACATTTTACCATAGAAGATACTTATATACGAAAAAACCTAGTTGTGGATTACCACGCCTGAAAAAAGATAGAGGAGGGTCTTATGAGGGAACTCTTCCAAGACATGAATCGCTTTTTCGAAACGGATTCCTACATACTATAGAGACACGCACAGGCAGCAAACTGCGAATACATCGTTTTTGAGCGGTTCTGGGAATGCTAAAAAACATGTGGAAGCCAGGGCTTGTGGTTCGATCCCCAATAAAGATAATTTTGTGCATTTCTCTATTTCCATTTTCTTTCATACAGGTCCAAGTTTATTCAGTGAACAAAAAGCTTCCAATATGTAACTATTAAGCGCTACAAATGCTGTAGTGTTCGTTGAGAATGGAAAGGTTTCATTTTCAAGTGAAATTTCTGCCCTTTTTCTGGCAATCTCAGGGCCGCTCAGAAAAAATGATGATCGGTTTTATGTTCCACGCATGTGTCCCTCTACCATGCACAAACTGTTTTGAAAAAACGCCCACTATCCTGAAAGACTTTCCTGGTTGGTAACTGGCCAGCTCAGAAAACCAGCCGTTGACACATAGTCGAGGTAGGAGTTCGAAGGGCAGACTCCACGCAATGAAATTCAGAAATCTTGTACGCGAAAAAGGGGGATGGATTTTGCAACTGGCGGAAGTATGACGCACAGGGACTGTGACGTAACGCATTGTGCTACTGCCTTACTTCAAAATTGGTGTCCCTTCTCTGAAACCACAAAATATTAGGTTAACGGGAAAATACGTCATACTTCTTGAATTTGAAGCCTCCGTTCCTAGTTTCACAGCATCAAACCCATAATATTAGTAACAATTCCCAGGATATTACTTCTTCCACTGGTGACACTCACTTGCATTCTACTTCCTTTTTTGCATT